ATATAACTGGTGCATTTTTCTTATTGATCTTGTTGCATTTTAATTGATTCTGTATTATTATTACCCGTTACTTGTCAGTCATACCCTGTTCTTGTCTTAGAAATTATTTGTTGTTTTAGCATAGTATTTCAGTAGTTAATTCAGTTCTGGTGTTCTTAGAGAGCAGGAATGACTGCGAGAGCAACGAGTTAATCTAGAGATGTTGCCTAATCTACCCTGCACACTAAAGTAAATAGTACATGGATCAAGAAGGAAGTAAGGTAGCGAGTAGCCAGACTGTAGAGTTTGGTCGTAAGAATTATTTGGTCAAATTCTGTCCTTGCAAATGCAGTTCTCTGGTAACTTTCCGCGCACATTTAGTTGTTTCGTAAATCACATTCCGCACATAGAATTCTTTTGACCTTTCTGCGCACTTGTTTCATCCTGCGTCTGCAAGTCCGTCTGCGCAAATGTAGACAAAATGATGTTTTCTGCACATGAAAAATTTTAATATTCCAAAGAAAAATACTCTACATTCTGGGCATGTAGTATATTAATCTCCTAAATATCATTGTGTTTGTCACCGAGTGATGCACCTGCCAGAGGTCGTCCCAAAACCAGGGTATCATGCCAACACAAAAGCCCAAGCATAACATTTCTCACGTTCTGTTTATTCTGTAGACGGGGTCGTTCCCCTTTGTACCCTCCCGTTAATAGCACAATGTGACAACTTATAGAAAATGAACATTAGGAACTGGTGGTAAGGGTGTTGTGTCCTTTGTCACTGAATGATGATACGCAGCGGATATTTTAGTCATTTTGCTGTAAACATGAGGCCATGGATTCCATTTCCCTTTATCTATGTGTGCCACTATGTTGCCAATGGGCAAGTTATTTCCTTGGTTAATCATCTAAACCTTAGCCCTTATGGGCACCCATAGTTCTAGACATGACCTCTATCATGAAGTTTATATTGTTGGAGTGTCATTCTCTGTTTGACCATATTGACCCCTTCCTCATCAATGTCAGAAATGTTGACATTTTGGCCACCCAGCTGCTTTATATATGCAAAACCTGGTCATGACTTTTCAAATTGCTTTTTTCAGTTATGCACTTACGCCAATTGTGGTGGTACCTGTAATGTATTTTATAGGAGCTGCCCTGCCTGCAAGCACAAACGTGAATTAGCAGCTCTCCGATTCAAATGAGGCCTCGCTCGACATAAGACCAGACAGGAAATACACCAAGAATGTTTTTCTCACACTACCTATTCCAAAACTGTCCTTCACTCTGCTCCCCTCCTGTATCCTCAAGATGTCTCAACATCATTATCTCTTCCCTCAACCCTGAACGGCCTACCTCTGTTTCCCTAACCCCCAAGCAAATTCCTTTTCCAGTCTAGATGCAGATACTCCAGTCTCTACCACTACCCTCCTCCTCATTTTACCTGCTGCACTAGAGAACCTAAACGTTCCACTCCATCTTCTACACTCTCCTCTTCCTCTACTCCTTGGACACGTACCCCATATCCTCCTCACAAGAGAACATTTGTTTTGTAGGCCTCCCCATCCATCTCCCCTCCAGAAAATCTCAAAGACACCCAAAACTTCCAAAACATTATCCAGGATAATGCTGCACTCCCTCATCCCCTCTCCAATCCGTCTATTCCTATTCCCTCTACATTCAAAGTACTTGCTGTTATCCATCCTCCTCTTCAAGTTCCCCCTATCCTTCTTCCTCCCACTCTCTCCTAACACACACCATCCTTTCCCTCTTCATTCCCCACTATCCTTACCACTCCCACCTGGATACTCACATGAATCCCTTCTGGTCGCAACAGTCTCCTTCTCTGGATCCCTCCCTTCCTGATAATCTTCCTGATACTTCACCACCTTCCCCAGTCCCCGTATCGCCTTCCCTGGTTTTTTCTCCTCCTACTTCTCCAACAGGCCATCTTTACCCATGTTACCTGTTGATTGTTTCATAAGGGCTATTTGCCAGTTTTCCTTAGACAGTGTTCCTCGTCTTTCCTCAGCCACAGATACTCTCCATTTCATCCAGTCATCTCATGTCCTTAACCCTTTCCTCTTTTACTAATCTCCTCTTTACTTCATTTCCTCTCCCTCTTTACCCTTTTCACTACCATGCTATCCTATAATGCTGTATAACCTAAGACATCTAACAAATTTTATCCTAATCATTAACTCATTTTTACCCTATTTCGCCACATTACTCTACCATAGTGCTGTATGATCTTTAATGTCTAGCACATTTATTTGTTTTTAACCATTAATCTTTAACCAGTAACCATCTTTCTTACATATTTATGTGCACAACACCATTAAGGTACTTTGATCTGTCAGTTAATGCTTTATTGTGACATCAGCAGTTTTTCATGATTTTAGAAAGAAAAGAAGGCATAGCTAAGCATGCTAAATATACAAGAAAATCTCAGAAATTTTGTGCATATGCAGTTTCAGGTTATGTTTGTAAGCCCTGCAGTGCAGTCGTAGCATTCTCGTCTAACAATCTTGCTGACATGGATTCAGTTCCCACACTGCCAGCGGATGGTAAATCTGGCCATTCCTTACACACAGGGGGCAGTTTAGAAGCACAATAAACAGACAACCATAATTTAACAGGAGTCACAAGAGTCTGTTACACCAAACCCTGAATTATTATTATTATTATTATTATTTACATTCCAGTTTTTAACTTAAATTTTCATAAATTTTTGTATATTATGATTGGTCTTTTGTAGGATTTGCAATATATCACACTAAAGGGGCTCCGCCACTGGATGTTCCACAGGTACAAGTGACAAAACCACTTTAATTTCTTTCTTCCTTTCTTCTTATACTCTCAGAGTAATAGAACCTCTTTCTTCCAGACTGAGTACTCTTGGACAGCAAATATGGAACCAGAGGGAGAAGGTCCTCTCGCCGTTGTTCCTGCATCAGGCGACCAGCAAGGGACTGGAGAGACTGAAGCTGCAGATGCTCCTGAAGATGAAGGGATTTTCTTACCAGCCAAGCCTGACGCAACATTGGACAACCAAGGAGAGCAGGAACTAGAATCCAAAAGAAATGAAGAAGATGAATCAGATACGAAGTCCATGACAATTGTCTCGGATGACGACAGCGATGTTGACACAAAGAATATAATAACTTCTAGTAGGAGAAGAAAAGCCATTCTCTCGGATGATGAAGATTCTAATTCACTTTCTTCACGTCCTGTTAATAAAGGTTTCCTTAGCAGTGATGAAGAACAGGAAGAAGAGAAGGATTTAGACAAGAAATCCAAGAGTACAAAAACAAAGAGGATTGTGCAAAGGATTGGCTCTGATAGTGATGACAGTGAATCTGAGATTTTCCCAAGGAACGCTTCTGATCAGCCAGCAGTAGCCATTGTAAGAGAACACAGTAGAGCTGTAATGTTGGCATGGACTAGATTATGGGTTCTAAAACTAGGGTTCCCCAAGTCATAGGAGTATGTAGGAGGGCTTTAGGATGTACAAGTATGACTAACAAAATTGTATAGACAAAAGGTTAAGGTTTTCTTTAGAATATATTTTGAGTTTGACCTCATATATAATATATATCTATTTAAAATGAAATTGTGTTTATACACAGTTATTCTATTTTCACTTCGGGTTACATTTCACTGACCTTAAAGGTCAGGGTACTTAGTAGGTAAAAGTTTTAGAATTTACACCATTGTCGGATTCTTTATGCTTCAGTGAAAGTTATTTTAAAGCTTATAAAAAATGTTACCATTCCATTTAAGAACTGTTTTTTGTAAAGTAAATCCAAGTGTATTTATTTTGTAACTGGAAGGAATTTTATCAGAAGAAAATCTTTCCAGAAACCATACAAGTACAACAGTGATCTGTTTGATGCTGAGCTGACAGATGAAGATGAGCCAAAAGCTAAGGTTGGGGAAAGCCTCTCTCCCCCACGGCCACAGTATTCAGATGACGAGAATGAGAGTAGTGCAGTCACTAGCAAGAAAAAGAAGGTAAGAGTTGCATGTGGAATAAGTAGTGGCAGAAAAAGTATCTCATAATCCAAGTTGTTAGTCACATATTAACCCAATATTCCTGGGTAAAAAAAAAGTTTGGCAAGTGGATATGATAGCAGTGTTGTTGGCGTGTATTGACAGTTTCCCCATTTACACCAGGCTTGTTTGGTAGTTTTCAGGTGACATTTGGCACCTAAAAGCCTTAATTTTACTATAATTTTTAATGAAATATCTTTCATATCATCTCAGTATCTTCCTATTTAATGAAAAAAAAATAAGGTATACCTTTGTAGGTGCTATTTCCTAAATTGCTTTACCGTAGAAATGAAGGCGCTAATATTGGGGGGGGGGGGGGGGGGAAACAAGCTCCATCCGATGAGCCATTGATGTAGGAATGGCTGTGACACAATGCCACCCGCTACTCTGTCCACAGCAGCCATGGCTTGTACATACATGGCACCCGGCTGCAAGGGGTTAAAAGATATTACTGCAGTAGAGAAAAATCATATATTTTGTTGCATGTGTTTCTAGATAATGTATGAATTATGAATTACTGTAAATATGTAATTAATATCTTTCATATCATCTCAGTATCTTCCTATTTCTTTTTCATCATCAATGACAACTCCAGCCCATCATCACATTACATTTACATTCTTTTTTCTTTGTCTTAAATTCTCAAGAAATCATTGAAATTTCATATCCAGAACAGTGTTTCTATTAACCTTAGTTTCATTAATCTTTCTTAGAAAAAAGGTCCATCTTTGAAAGAGAGGCAACAGGAAGTTATGGACATACATAGTGAAACCCAACGAATGGTGCGTGATTCCCAGATATCTCTACCCTATCACAGGCCCAAGCAGAGAACTCTGGCAGAATTTCTAGAAAGGTAAACCTAGTAAGAAGTTATAATGTGGCCTTCACACTTTACACAATGGTAAAGGTTAATAAACTTCCATCGTGTGCATTCTGGAATTCTGATGGTAAATAACTTGGGATGTTTACGAGCTCCATATTGCCAGAATATAGTTCAGGTTTGCTAATCACTGTTATAATGTTAAGCTTAAATGCCATACCATCACACCATGATCATTATTCCTCCTCTCCCCCCTCCTTGTGCTCCTCTTCCCCCTGGTCATGCTTCTCTTGCCCTCCTCATGCTCCTCCTCCTCCTCCTTCTCCTCCTCTCTCTCCTCCTCCTCCTCCTCCCTCCTCCTCTCCCCTCCTCTCCTCTTCCTCTTTCCCTCCCTCCTCCTCCTCCTCTTCTTCCCCTTCCTCCTCCTCCTCCTCCTCTTCATCTTCCTCCTCCTCTTTCCCCCTATCTTCCGCCTCCTAATCTTGATCCTCTTTCTTTTCATCCTCATCTTCAGTTGAATTTGTCTGAACAAATAATACTTTATAATTGCCAGCCAATTCTTGCTGAATGATTGATGTATATCCCCTTATTAATTTTATTTATGGCTTTCAATTTTTTCTCTTTCATTTAGAGGAGTTTTCTTTTATATTTGTATTTTATAGTAATGATATATATTTTTCCATCATAATTTTACAAAGATTGGTTAATTTGTATCTAATAATTCAGGTAATTCTAAAGTTTTGCTCTTGTGTTACAGGTAGAAATTTCTTGTAAAGGAAGTTACTGATACTTGCTTTTTTTTTCTTCTTTCTTTTCATATCCTTTAGACGGAAGAAAGTTGCACCTTCACTGAGTCTCAAACACGGCAGCTTGAAGATGAGTATGCGAGATATGGCAACATTAAAGTAAGATTGCTTTTAGTTTTTGAAATCTGACAGTGAATATAGCAAGACTTTTGTATTTTCACTATTATTTGTTGTTTTTATACAAAAGCTGGAAAATGGGTCTACTGTATATCCATTATTTTATGAAGTACTTTCTTGCAATTTCAAGGAGTTATGTATGAACCTCTTCAATAGCAATGCATTCTTTCATTTAGGTTGTTAGAAGAAAAGAAAAAGGAAGTTGAAGAATTTTACAAATCAGACTCTGATCAAGAGGACCCGGAAGACAGAGACTGGACTCCAGGGAACAATCCTGATGGAGACCAGGCAGGTCAGGATAAAGAAATGGATAAGGAAATGGAAACTCAGCTTCCTCCCCAGGCTGGTAGTAATGAAGATCTTCCAGACATATCTCAGAATGTTGGCACCCCTGAAGAAGGCAAGACTGATAATGCTGAGGATTCTTCAATGCAAGTAGATAAGGAAGCTCACCCTGATATGGGAACCATGGTAGGGGAATCCACAAAGAAGAATGTAGATGACTCAGGTATTCAGAGTGGGGCTTCATCTTCTGCTGAGGACTCTCAGCCAGATCAGGATGTGGTAATGGAAGACGTTACACATGGTGCAAAGGATGCTCAAGATGATGAACTTGAAATAGAGGAATATCTTCCTAAAGCTGCAACAGAAGAAAAAGACAGTCTTGAAATAATTTCATCAGACCCAAAAAGCCCCCAAAACTCTGAGGCAAAGAGTGGAAAGAAGATTGAAACTCCCAAATTAAATCTTCTTGCATCAAAATTGCCAGACTTGGACCTAAACAAGATCACAAAGACAACCCCAAAGTTAAGTCTTGGAAATGACTGTGACTTCATTGATCTGGATGAAGAACCGACTGTAACACCAAAGAACTCAGGATTGAATGAGCTGATGAATCGCTTTGTTCGACACTCCAATACAAAGAGGAAACCGGTAGATAAGCAGCAAGTGAATTTAAGGTATGTTGTAAAGATATAAAGTTTTTCCAAATTCAGGAGTAAAACAAATTTGACAAAGAAAACTTAATTCTTGTGTTAAGGACAGATGTATGCTACTTGTGATTATATGGGTTAAGCTCAACCCTAATCCACCTGAAACTTAATGTGACATGCAATGGAGAAACCTGCACCTGCTGACATTGGGAATGCAAGTTTTCTCCTCCTCCTCCTCCTCCTATTTACATATAGATGGCTATAGAAGTACCTAGTCACCAAGGACTCAGTTAGGAGTCCTACTTGACCTCATCTGTTTATACCATTAGTTCACTTTTTGGAAAGAAACATTTTTATATCTGTTACTATTACTTTTGATAACATTATGATAATAATCATAATTATGTTAATAGTAACATAAGAGATAATGATAGCAATAAGAATATTTCTTTTCTAGAAAATTAACTAATGGGATAAACAGTTCAGATGTTATTCAACATCAAAGTGCGCAAGATGGGAGTTGATGTATTTGTTTGTATCTTCATCAGAAAATCATATATTTCTAATGGAGATATAATCAAAATGCACCAAATACACCTCTTACACTGTGAAATTATTCACAATCATTCATATTTCTTTCTGGATTAGTCATAATTAACATTCAGAGGTTAGGTATGCCTAGTAATTGACTTCATAGTGACAAAGCTCTACTGAAGCCATCTGTGAGTAGCAAAAGAATTATGCCTTGCTAGAGTCAGTGTTATAGGTTTTTTGGGCTGTGCTGGGGTCCCAGAGGCACCATTTGGTGTCTTGTAAACATTTATAAGAAATATATATGATGAATGTGCTAAACTTAGGCTCAGAAATATTCAGGATTTAAAGACGTACAATTTTTATCAGTTATATTTTTTATATCTTTTAGTGTTGTATCAAAGGAGAAGGGTGAGGATGGCTCGGAAAAGCTTGTATCATCCAACATTATTGTGAATCTCGATGCTGAAGATGAGGATATGGTGAGTTTTACATATTTCCTCAAACTGTCTACAAATTGATTCAAGAAAATGATGAAGAAATATAATCAGTACTAAATCTCATCCCATAGTATTATAGAAGGCTAAGAGCATGTTTAACATGGATTTCTTCTTTTTAGCCAACTGAAACTGTCCCTGGAGCACGTCATATGTCCCTTAAAACCGCTCTCCAAGCAAAAATCAGGGAACAGCGAGAACGAGAGAGAGTACGGAGAGTTAAGGAGCGGCAGTTCATGGAGTCTGAGCAAGTCATAGAAGGTGAGTATTAGACATATTAGGTATGCCTCACCAATTCAGCTGTTTGAGTTCAGTTTTATTAATAACATATGAAATGGTTGAGATCATGCATGGGAAATGAGATACATTAGCCAGTCACCATCATTAAACCATGATCCTTATCCAAGTAGTAATGTTAGAAAGTAGAAAAAGGTATTCAAGTTTTGTTGTTTTTTAGTCAGGACTATAGGTAAGATCAAGTAACAAAATCACCAAAATAAAACTGCAATGGGCAGTTCATATATATAGCACCAATGAGTGAAATCGCAGCCCTTGACAAAGTTGTGCACTGCTAGTTTAGTGATTTCAATAATTGAATCTGCATTTCCATAGCTTTTGTTACCAAAACTGAAAAAAGAACCCTTTGATAAGCATATTCCTAACCAAAAGCTGTCAAACATCCATTGACACCTGTTGTCTGGGCTAAATAGGAACCATCAATGAAGTGTTGATAGCTGCTTGGAAAATTTATTATCCAAGTCATCAATGAATATCAATATCATCTATATAGTTCAAATTGTTTTTTTCTGTAATATTTATTCACCATTTCAAATTACAGTGATTATAAAATGATTTTCCTTAAGAAGTTGGGGGAGGATCAAAACGAAACAACTTGATGTAATATAACATTAGATTTTTTCTTCATTTTTTCCGGGGATGGCATATACGAACATGCTGTGGCTATTATTGATTTAGTTTATTTATAGTGTTTACAATGGCTTCACAAGTGCTTAGTCACCAAGGAGTCAGTCACTAGTCCTCCCTATTTCACCTTTTAACCCTAATTTACTTTTTGGCGGCTGAGTGCCAGTGGAGCTATCTGTGTTGAGACAAGTCACAAAACAAAATTACAGGGAATGTTACATGTTTCCTGGTAGCATTGAATTAAAATGTTAGTTCATAAATTTTCAAATTCTTATTACCATATTTTTTAGTACCTGTTTAGTGTGTATTTGTGTTTCATTAGTTGAAAATCACTGATATACATTGTATATTGTTAGTTGCAACATTATTTGGAAATGACAGATTCACTGATGTATGTATTTCATGATGAAAAGATTACCAAGACGATGGACCTTTCCTGGATGAGGAAAAGGAGTTTACTGACCAGAGCGACACAGACTGTGAGTCCGAGCCCGAAGAAAATGACATCATCATCAAGGATAAGAAGCGCAAGAAGAGCAAATATCTGGATGAAGAGGCTGAAGATGACGATGAAGAAGAGGATGATGAAGCTAATGCAGATGAGGAAGAGGATGAAGAGGGTGATGATGATAATGATGATGGAGGAAAGTAAGTAGAAGTCATGCTCATGACTTTTTGATATTCATGTACACATTTTGATGATCAGTTTGAGAGGGAAAAATTACACGTAACCAGAAGTTGCCAACTAGACTTGAAGAAATTTTTAGAGAGAGAAAAAAAAAAAAAAAAAAAAAAAAAAAAAAAAAAAAAAAAAAAAAAACTATATATATATATATATATATATATATATATATATATATATATATATATATATATATATATATATATATATATATATATATATATATAAGTTATATTGTATGTTATGCTAGAGCTAGGAATTAGAACTTCTACTTTACTAAAGAATTTGATCTCATAGGATTTCAAAAGGCAGTTAGAGCATATAGTAGAGCTGGTCTTATTACATTATATTTATTTTGTTAGTGTTCTCCATTAACCCACTTATGACGGTTGTCACATATGAGATACCTGGAAAAAATAAACAGTACCGGGCGTCCCGCCGGTGTGACGCTAGATCGGAGCTTGCTCTTTGATTTTGTTGCTTGTGGCGGGCAGCGTGTGGGCAGGTTCCCGGACTTGCCTGCGTGCTGATTTTGAAGCAGTCCAGAAAATATTATTTTCGGCTTGAAAATGTATCGTCCCTAGTGGGTTAAATGGTTAAATGTATAGTTGTAATTGCACATATGCAAGTGTGTGTTTTTAGCATTGTTACAAAATTCAGGATATATCAAAAATGTACTTAATGATTTTTAAATGAAGTAATGATGACTTGCAGCATTTACTTCTGTTTGAACTGTATTTTCACTAGTTTGTTCATTTTCACCGATTCTTGGCCAGTGATATATTCAGATCTTTTATATAAGTTCTTTTTTAATTGTTTAATTTAGTCATGAATTTTTCTAATTTTATTTTTGGACTAATTTCGATGTTTTCTCTGTTTGTAATCCTACAAATGTGGAAGTACTTAAAGTAATGCCTTATATCTCCATAGTCAAGAAGCAGAGGATGATGACAGCAATGATACCGTGGAGCTACCCAGCACTCGCAAGAGGATAATCATGGATGATAAAGATGAGGATAGTGATGGAGACCACTTGAAGTTACAGTGGGAAGAGTCAGAAGATATTAATGCTCAGGTCAAGTCCAAATCACTCATTGAAGGCTTGACACGTACAAACACAGAGGACCTCTTTGCCTCACAGTCTAAAAAAAGTGAGTGCTTTACTTATTTGCAGTGCGTGAAAAGAAATGAAATTTGTACTATGATAGATTTTTGGGCTAGATTTATACGTTTAAGAAGGCCAGTTATCTTTGCGTGTAGTTTATTTAGCAAGGTTTATATTGATCCTTTTTTAAGGGACCATACAGTGGTTTATATGGATTTTGTGAAAATATTGCCAAATGTTAGTGAAAGTCCACTGGCTCATGTTTGCCAACTTAACCCCCTGGATCCGGTTTCAATGGTTACGTAAGTGGCCAGCATCCCAGACATGCAGTGTGTAGGCCGGGTGCACACGAGCACCCATGAGCGGTGACAAGACTCTGTGCCTCCCCTTTGAGAACTTATTTTGTGAAAACTTTTTTAGGTATAATAAGGTGCAAAAAAAATCATACTAGAAAAATTAGCACATTATATAGCATCTTCTCTTTCAAGACTGCAAAAACAAGCAGCTGTAGGTTATGAAAAAGCTGCTATGAAATGGCACATGTTTCACAAGCAAGATGTTACTTTAATTTATTCCAATAGCCATATCTCCAATCTGGAAACCTTTTACTAGAATTGTAAAAATAATTTATAAAGATTAAAAACCACAGAGCATTATGAATTTTAAGGTTACTTATTCACAGTGGAGATAAATGCAATGTTGTTAGACAGTGAATATTGCTCAAGCTGGAGGCTTCTGCTGCTTAAGACTCAAATTCTCTTGTTCTGTCTTTTATCTGAAGTGGTTATTCATTTTGATGTCCTCCTTCAGATTTTTGCTTAGGCTTGATGTAGTTCAAATCCCAAGGACAAGTGATGTTGCCTGAATGTCTTGCTCTTTCCTCATCTTCCCAGTTTCTAGAGCAGCTTTTGTCCCCTGCTCAGGACTCTTGTAAGGTTTTCTTCACATGTGCAGTTCTTGTGGTATCTTAAGATTAAATCTAAATTCACAGAAAATGTTCAGCAATCCAGTGACAAAGTGACACACCCACTGTCACTCTAGATACCAGAAGACAATGTTGTTCCCAATTCAGGAAACTACAAAGAATATTTTTTATAAATGGGTTGATTAAAAAAAAAAAAAAAGTAATAATGTTAATACACACACAAAAGAGAGATAGAAAGATAGTGTCTAGAGACACATGCAGGTGTGGTTTCAACATATGGATTGACCAAATGCATGTAAATTCAGTGAGGGTGTTTCTAAGGGAAGGGGTGATTTTGAAATGTGTTTTACTTTTTCATGTATAAATTGTCCCTTAAATAACTATAGTGAAAATATTTTTTGAGTTAATAATCTGGTATTTGATGAAGAAGTCAGAAAAAAACAAAAGGAACTATTTAAGAAAGTCTGATAAATTATTAGCCAATAGTTTTGTGGAATTGTGCTGTTTTCAGTGTTACTGACCATTACTTATCTTGATTTTAGTGGACTCACTGGACAAAGATGCAAGCATTACATCCATGGATTCAAGTTTTGAATTTTTTGGATCTGTCATCCCTGGCCATCAGCCAGGTGGTGGACTACGCCGCAGTGGAGAGAGCATGCCCAATGAAAATGATGGTGAAACTGCTTTCCTTACTCCATTAACTAAAACTAAATCTGGCAGTTTCAGTAGTGTTGGGGTAAGTAGAGCCCCATTTCCAGGTATCTGAAAAATGTCCTCATTACAGAAATCTTTGGTACATCTTTTATGCATCATTTATACAAATCTTCATATCTGTTACCACTAATAACTGTTCCTCCCTCTTTTCAGCGAGATCGTGACTTAAGCCTTCCCATAGAAAACTCTCAGGATCTCTTTATATCATCAGCACCACATAGTGCTCCTGGCTCTCCCTCCACAGAAGGTCCAAATCTTCACCTTACCCCAATAGAAGACTCCCAGTTTGGCCCTCAAGAAACGCACAAAGAAGCTAACCCTATGGCCAAGCTGAAGTTGGATTTCACAGGCATAGAGGGTTCCCAAGATGGAGACGAACTGATTGGGCTTTGTTCTGGACAGTTTACTGGTAGGATTATATGGGCTTTCAATACCTTGCAAAATGTTTTGAAGCAGAAAGTATGAATATAATGTTACTTTTATCTTATTGAAACAAATATAGTTACATTAGAAAAAGAGAGAGACCTATCGGCTGCCAAATTTGTTATAAGAAAGGTTATTTATTAATTAAGTATGAATACTAAAAGAAACAAACAAACAAAAAAGATGATGGAAATATGGATCATTTTGTAACAAACCCATGGTATCATTTGTCACTATTTTTATGATATGCAGGAAATCCATAGTAGTTAAATGCAGCCTTATTCTGTTTAAGAACATCATATATCTGACTGATTATTTGTATGTCGCATTGGAATTCAGTGTATGCAGCATGATTAAAATGTATAAAGTATTTTATATACAACAATTTTACACAAAATTTGATAAATAGATCTCTCACTACCGCCCTCTTTTCATTCTTTATATGTTACATCTCCAACCTCAGGTGAGAGATAGAAGAGAGTTGACAAATCTAGAAAAGGTAAAAATGAGAATCAATATCTTCACAGTACAACAGGTGTATTTTACTAGTTTTAATATATCTTCATCAGAATTACATGTATTTCTGATGAAGATATATTCAAAACCAGTCAAATACAATTCTTGTATTGTGAAGATATTCATACCTTTTCTGTAAGAGAAGGGAGTGATAGGAGATTTAAAAAAGGGACTAAATTTTTTATTTTAATTAATAACAGACTAACTACCAGGGCTTGTATGCCAAAACCTATAAAAAAAACTGCAATTCTACAAGCCTTTTTATTTCATGAAAACTGATATAAAGACTTACAAATTCCTATCCAATAGACATTTATCTTTTTAAAGAACATAAGTTGTTCAATTGCAGGTAATATATTGAAAGGATAATGGCCATCATCAATAGTTTCATATATTTAATTTTAAGTAACTCCATTTTGTTGGAAGTAGGAGTATATTACTTTTACTATCCCAACACAGGACACTTTTATAATTATATTAACAGTCTCTTCGAAATGGCGCCTGTTCAGGCACCTTTATTATGGAATATAAAATAAAGATCAGGGCCAATGCACTTTATCATGCTTTTCATATGTAACTTTTCTGGAAATTCGTACAAGACAAGAAAAATGAGGGTATAGATATGACTATATGAAGTGTTTTTTATTTTTTTTTTGATGTTGAGTTGGTTATGTATGCTACTTGCTGTGTCTGTATGCATCCCGGGTAAGTATTATCACCATGTATATTGTGATAATATAGATATTATCTGTTGTTTTAGAAATTAAGTTTGCCATACTGGGTGAGCTTATCCTTGATATACATTATGTATAGTTATATGTTATTAAGGACATATAATTATGAAATACATGTATGGATATTCTTATATTGAGTACTATATAAATTATATGTGTTAAATAGAGAGACATATAAAGTAAAATGAATAAAAAATCCTCGGATATCAATGTATAATGAGGAAAGAAATTACTAATGCATTATATGATATATATATTAATGTACTGTGATAGTATAGTTAGACAGTAGTGTTCTTGGGGGTAGTGATTTATATTGAGGTATATATTGGATGGTTACTGTATATTTATGTGTATTGGTTATTGTATTGATCAATATATATCAGTTATATTATTAATTACCGATACTATATATATATTAGTATAATACAAAATGTACCAGTACTCAATGTATTCACATTATCCTTATATAATATTTTGGTAATATAAGGTACATTACATATAATTTGTGTGAGGTAGTTGGTATAACTGAGGCAATAATACTTTCATGATTATTTTTATATGTATATAACAATATATTTTAATACGAACATGTCACATCAACAATACTATACAGTACTTTTATGTGCCTATAGATATTATTGAGATGACTGTTTTGTTGGTCTATTATACTATACAGGATATGACATTATTATATATATTCTTCTAAAATATATAAAGTTTATTATACTAAACACTTATAATTATTGATAGTGTCTTTATTAAATTAGGATTAAGTTTTAAAGATTGTATAATATCTGACTGAACAAAAAATCCCACTGTCCTTGTTTACTTTTATCCTTATTTATTTTAAAGACTTACTATTAATGTACGAAGCAGGACATCAATCGTATAGACTAAATTACCTATTATCTTTTAATATTCTTCTGAAGAACTATAATTTTGTGAACTACTACATAATTGTAATATTATTTGTTTTCTAGGAGGAAGTTAAATATTTTGACCTCTATTACTTTCAAGTATATATATTAGTTATCACTAATTAGATTCAATATGTATTATTAGAAGTGTAAATAAACAACCTTTTTATACAAAGTAATTATGTAATCTATAATTTAATTTTTTACATTATTATCTTTACTATAACATTTTCTTATTGTAATTATACATAATAATAGACTATAAGTATATATGAATTTATTATTGATTTGGAAATTATGTAACATAACAATAGTTATTCCATCATTACATAAATTAGCTAGATTCACATATTTGTTTCTTATTTATATATTAATATAATATATACTTGGCATATGTAGTGAAAATTGCATATATAAGTCTCTTAAATATGATGGAATTAGGTAAATCAATTAATTGAATGACATGAAGAATCAAAACTTGTATCATTATAACTATTAGTAAACGTATCGATATTAATACAGAACTAATCCTTCTACCCGTATAATACTATTGAATAATTAATATATGGTAGATAATACTCATCTAGTATAATGTAGAGTAAAGATACCATGAGAGAAGGTATTAAGAAAGCTAATAGTAAAACAAGAATAACGATATAAGCCTTTCTCTGGTAGTGAGCACTATATATGGCCCTGTGAATTTTATTCTTATTTATATATAAGCCATTTAATAATATTGTTGTTTTTTTATGGTATATGTGATATTATATTTATTTATTTTGTTATGATATGATACATATTATTATGTATTCTTATATTATAATATGCATCTTATATTGTTTCATGCTTTTTTAATATTAATTACTGTTATATTATTGTAATAATTTTACTCTTATTCATTTACAGTTCTTTTCATAATATATTAAGGTGAATATGGTCATTCATTTATAATTTAAGTACATATAGCCTACTTTATTATATATTATAATTTAGCTTATTTCAATTTATGATTTATTACTATGTGTTTAATAATGTCCATATTTATATTGTAAATTAGTTGATAGAATGAGGTAAATGAAAAAATACAGAACAGTATAATTTTTTTTTCTTACTGCTTCATATCTAAATTATCTATATTTAAAATATATAATATTTTTTAGTATTTGACATAATAAGTTCCACATATTTTTGTTGTTATGACTTTATTACTAACCAGCATACACATTTCTTTTGTAATTAGTTTTATTTATTTATTTTATACTTATTTGTTTGAATCATCGGTCCTATTTGCAGTTTTGACATAGTGACATAGGTATCTGTCTCATATCATAAATTATGCTCAGTCATAAGTGTTGTAGTCAATAGCACTATACAGTTGCTATACAATTCACTTTATACTAAATGCCCTTTACCAGGCCACACTTGGACCCATTCACCCCTATAGTGTCTTTTATAGGTCTTAAGCACTAATTGAGGAGGTGCATGCTAGATAGCTATGTTAGACTTTTTAATTTGGCAATATGTAATTCAATGAAACCAAAGTGTAATGACAACCAAGATTTGATTATAGTGATAGGTTGCACTCCTGTAATAAGTTCTTAGCAAAAAGTAAGAAAGGTAGTGTTTTTATCATGATTATTATTTGACTGACTCTTTAAATCATTCTATTTCATCATAACTATCTTGAATTCAATTGGAAAACAATATAAATAGCAGTGTCATCCTAATTAATGCTGAATTGCTGATAAGTTATAGTACATTCTAATTGGTATCGTGTGTGAATTCTGTATATGTGATACATAGGCACATTTTAAATATAATGTATTTTTCTGCCTTCTTGGCTAATGCCAAAATATCTAGATGAAGTATATTTATATATTTTCACCTTAAGCACTTTTAATATAATTATGATTAAGTAATACCTTTTAAAGATCTATTGCTTTATAAGTTATTTACATATAATTATCTCGACAGTAGTTTTAACTTGGAATATAATGATTTATGTAATGTATTTACAATTAAGAATGTGTTTCATCTTAACTCATGGCTTAGTACTATACATATTAACCACCCAATTAGTGTTATTCGCTCTAAAGTGTCTCAGTACTATAGTGTTACTACATTGGTCTAATATACAGCAGAATTATAAGTGTAAAAAGAGAATATAATATAAATACCAACAATGGCTTCCATCTATAAAGTTTGGCCCACGATTTTAAATTATGATTAGCCAGTTCATCAACAACAATATTGGTTCGTATAGGATAAAGGAGTATACTTTATTAGTAATTCTTATATGAAACATGTCCAAATTTACTGCACTTTATTCACAGGCATAAATCTAATAGAAGGAGTCTATCTAGCATTAACTTTATTCATATAGTGAGGTGTGTTTAGTATAAGTGTATAGTAATAAGGGTGTGATATGATGATGTAATTGATAGATGTAAGGGGGTATGATAAACTGAAGGTGTGGCTTATAGATATATGAATATATACTCTACTAAACCAAATTATATTTAGCAGTTTTCATATTTGATAGAAGCTATACCTCATTTATATAATAAATACTTATAACGGTGAAATAGGTAAAAGAAAGATGAAAAATAGATAAAAAAAATAAGTAAAATAACATAAACAATTCGTGCGTTTAGAGTTTTAATGATTATGTACTCAATAATAATGACAAACTAGTAAAAAAAAATTAGTATGCTAAGAATACGAAATATATATATGTATCTAGTTTATAGTAAAGAAATAGTGTATTATTGTATTAATTTATTATTTTTATATTAATGTTAGGAATTATATGTGCATTA